CTCCTTCTGAGTGCTGGTCTTTTGTAGCATTCTGTTCTACTTTTGTTTTATGGATTCAGTAACTTGTGCATCTCTGCAAATGCTATCATTAAAACTGCTGCTTCGGCCCCCACCTTCCTGTGGAAGGTTTTTGTTTCTGACAGATTCCTCTCTGTTGCAGTCTTCCACATTTGAGACCTTCCACAAACACCTGCTGATGTTTATTCTGCTCATTCACATTCAGAAACAGAGGACCTGTGCGTTCATTTCCTTGGGCTGCCATAACAAAGCACTGCAAACTGACCAGCTGCTGAGAGCGGGAATTCACTCTCGCCCAGTTCTGGAGACCAGAAGTCTGAGGTCAAGGTGTGGAAGGGCTGTGCCCCTCTGGAGGCTCCTGGGGAGTATCCTTCCTGCCTTTTCAGCTCCTGATGACTCCAGGTGTCCCTGAGCTTGTGGCCACATCAGTCCAGTCTCTGCCTCCATCTTTCTGTGGCCACCTTCCCCATGTCCCTGTGTCCTCCCTTCTTCTCATAAGGATAATGAGATGGGTGGGAATTCCAAGCTCCTGTGTCATGCCCCACAGTGAGGGCCACCTCGGAAGGAGAATGCTTCATAAGGGTTGTGGTTGCCTTGAAGGGTCTGTTCTCCAAATTCTTCGGCATCCTGGAGTGAGGGCGGAATGCCCGGTCACCTCTGTCATCACCCCCAAGCTTAATTCAGACCTGGTTGGATCCACTGTGGAAAGGGCCAGGCCCAAGTCCTCTCTGTGAGTGTGCAGTTTACTTTTTCCTGGGAACATGACCACACTGCCTGTGTGCATTCCACTGCAAAGTGCTGGTCAGAAACAAGGAGCAGACTTAAAACCTGGACATTCTGGCTTCTAGACTTTTTGTGGGGATTTTGGGTATTTTTTCCCTTTTTCTTTCCTGAACTCTGACTTTGATTGCTAACAATCCCTGAAATGTTGCCAGCACATTTTCATTTTTACAGTCTTGAATTATGCCCTCTTCTCCAAGTCAAGGCCTCAGTTCCTCTAGCTCTGCCCCCCTGGGTGTGTGTATGAGTTTCCTACGGCTGCTGTATCCCGTTACAACTAGCTGGGTGGCCTGAAACAACAGCAGTTCTGGAGACTACGAATCTGAGATCCAGGTGTGGCAGAGCTGCACCACCTCTGGAGGCTCCAGGGGAGTATCCTTCCTGCCTCCTCCAGTTTCTGGTGGCTCCAAGTGTCCCTCGACTTGTGGCCGCATCACTCCAGTCTCTGCCTCCGTCTTCATGTGGCTTCTCCTCTGTATCTGTCTGTATCACCTCTTTCGTCTCTTATAAGGACACTTGTCATTGGATTTAGGGCTCATCCTAAATCCAAAGTGACCTCATCTCGAGACCATTACGTTAATTACATCTGCAAAGACCCTATTTCCAGATAAGGTCATGTTCAGAAGTACCAGGCATTGGGACTTGGATATATCTTTTGGGGGTCCTATTCAACCCACTACACTCGGTCACATAGCCTTTGATCTGCAACACTGTGGTGTTAGCCAGCCCACCTTACAGGTGGTTGCAAAAGTCACCTTCTAAGAAAAGTGGTCTGCCAAAGCACTTTACGTGCAGCGAGGGTCGGCTGGGAGGAGGCCTCTTCTTGGCTTGTGGCCATGTCACTCCAGTGTCTGCCTTTGTCTTCACGTGGCCTCACCGAGGTACCTGTGTAGGAGGCTCAGCAGACTACCTCACAGTATATCTGGTCCCAGGACTTGCAGACTTAGACCCATACGCAGTTCTTACCAGTTACAGAATATTCACAGAAATGTTAGAAGTATGAGTTAAAATAGAATTAAACTATTTAATTTTTTAAAATTAACAGCACCAAAGATCTTTAACAATTTTTTTATACATTGTTTCAGAGAAAACCATGTGTTTGAGTATGCTCCCATGACTTTTTTAAAATGTTGGTTTAAAATTGTGTGATATAGTAATTTTAAGATATTGTTTTAAATTTAGGTCATTTGGTATTTAGCTTTAGTCACTATGTATATACAGACAGAAGTTCATTATTGGCTGTATTTTTATTTTTATCCTTTTTAAAAAAATCCTTATTTACCAGTTAGATTAAGGTTTATACTGAAATTTAGAAAGTAAATTTAATCCTCCACGATACTAATCAGTGATTGTTGAAAACTAATTAAATGGTATGGCATTTCATATTTTTAACTAATGGATTCAAGCTGGATAGAAACTCTTCAATCAGAATACTTCTACACTGGTCAGATGTTGAATTTACATGTGCAGGTATATGTATGTGTTCATGAGATATATGCATCTGTAATTTTCCTGTCTGGCTTTTGTCTGGTTTTGGTATCAGGGAAGTATTGATATCCCAAAATAAGTTGGGGAGCATTCCCTCCAATTTCTTGAAAAGTTTGTTTAGAATTGGTGTTATTTCTGACTCAGGTGTTTGGTGAGTTCACCATTGAGACCATCTGATTCTACATATGGGAAGGTTTTTAAATACAAATTTAATTTCTTTAATAGATAGAGGGCTATTCAGGCTAATGGTGTCTTCTTGAGTGAGTTTTGTATTTTTCAAAGAATTAACTCATTTCGTCTAAGGCTAAGTACCAAAAATTGTCAAATTTATTGGCATTAAGTTTTTGCTTTTTTATTCCTTTATTGACTTTAGAAGCTATTATGATGTCCCCTCTTTCATTATTAATATTGATAAATTTGGATATTTTTTCTTTTTTCTTCATGAGTATAGCTAAAATGATCTTTCCAAAGAATCAGCTTTTGTTTTAGTTGATTTTCTGTATTCCTTTCTATTTTTTGTTTTATTGATGTCCTCTCTTATTTTTAATATTCCCTTCTCTATATTAGTTTTGAGTTTAATTTGCTTTTTCCTTCACTGTCTTAAGGTGAAAGCTTAAATCATCATAGATTTTCTTTCTTCCAGATTTTTAATGTGACTCCTTAGATCACTGATTTGAGACCCTGTTCTTATTTAATATAGCATTTAACATTATCAGTTTTCCCCTATACAGTGTTTTAGCTATATCCCACAAATTCTGATATGATTTGGGTCTCCACAATGTATTATCTAATTTCCGATTGTGATTTTAGCTTTCACCCATGTCTAAAATCCAAATATTTGTGATTTTTCCAAATTTCTTTTTATTATTGATGTCAATTTTAATTCTGTTGTAAGAGAACATATTTTGTATCATTTCAATCATTCAGAAACTTCTGAGAATTGTTTGTTGACTCATGATACGTTCTATCTTGTTGAATGTTTCATGTGCACTTGAAAATAATGTGGATTCTACTGTTGTTGGGAGAAGTATGTCAATTAGGTCAAATCGCTTGATTGCATTTTTGACGTCTGCTGTATCCTTACTTTCTGTCTGTTTGTATCAGCTACTGAGGAAAGAGTTTGAAACCTTCATCTATATTTGTCTGTTTCTTCATTCAGTTAGTTTTGCTTTATGTGTTTTGATTATGTATTTCTGTTGTTAGATGCATACTTATTTAGAATTATGTCTTATTAATGAACTGACCTATTTGTCATTATGAAATGTTCCTGTTTATCCCCGATTACAGTCATTCATTGTTCTAAAGCCTCTTGTCTGTTATTAATACAGCTACCCCAACTCTCTTTTGAGTAGTAGTTTCGTGTTATATTGTTTTCTGTCCTTTCATTTTTAACTAATCTGTGTACTTGTATTTAAAGTAGGTTTTTGTAGACAACATGCAGTTGAGTGTTGCTCCATTTTTAACTAATCTGTGTACTTGTATTTAAAGTAGGTTTTTGTAGACAACATGCAGTTGACTGTTGCTCTTTTTTTTTTTTTTTTTCAATTCTAACAGTCTCTATCTTGGGCTATTTATAATATTTATGAAGCTGTTTCAAGGTCATTACCTGACCTAATTTATCCATCTGTGTCATTTCTGCTGATTACTTTTTTTTTCTTCCCCCTCTGGGTTATGCATTGCATTTGTCCAGGCTTGGTGATTTTTTTTGATTGGATGGTAGACATCATGAATTTTACATCCAGTGGAGTGCTAGAGTTTGCTCTATCCTGCTTGCTCTGTTTAATGTTGTTCAGGTATAGAGTTAAGGTCTGTCCATGCCTTCCACTCTCTAGATGGTCATGTGCTCACAGTCCATCTGTTGCTTTCCCCCAAATGGTTTCAGGTGTTTGAAAAAAAACAATGTTTTTTGTAGCAGATGACAAGGTAGAGACATTCCCTCATGTTATTATTAAAGCAGTAATTATTACAAGATCGTTTAAGATTTCATTTTAGATAAACCATCGTGCTTTGGGTGGATTTAGATGTGACTGTTGCCCTAATCAGCATAGGTTAAAGGAGGAAAGTACTCCCTTTATTTTTGACACATTTCTGATAATTAGCCCTCTCTTAATTGGCTCTGTGAATAACTGCATTTGTCTGTGTGTTCCCTGCGGTTAATCCTGACAGCGAGTGATGACGTGGGACTGCTCTTTGCACAGGGTGCGTTGTCGTTGCTCAGCTGTAGGAGGCGAGGTTCATTTTATTCTCTGACCTTTTCTTACGTGATGGAGGCCGTTTTATGATTTCCTCTTGCAGGAATACGAGGAATGATTGAATTGCTTTCTGTAGGATACGGGGTTTTCTCAGAAAACACCAGAAGTCTAGCCCTTGTGTAGTCATTGCTTCAGAGAAAACAAAACAAAACAAAACAAAAAACATGGTCCAAGGAGGCCCTGCTGACATCATCACCTTCCCAAAGTTGACAGTCACCTCCGCCGCTCCCTCTCTGCCTGTTTTCCACAATTCAGTGACGATCAGCAAACAAGGGTAGTTTCTTTCTGGTCAAGTCGTCTTCTGTTACTTAGAGAAATGCTATATAGCTAAGCCCCGAATTGCCTTGTTGATTTTGTTTGTTTGCTTGGGGTAGGGATGTTTCAGATCTGATAACACTGGTGTAGACAGTCTCTCCGGTAGATCAAATAATTGCTCAGAAGAGGTAGCAAGAGAGCGTGCTGATGTGCAGCCTGGAGAGCCGTGCCGGGGACGGAGGCCTTGCCATCGGTGCCTCGCCAGCTCACCGAAGCTTTCCCTCCTCCTCCCCAGGGGCTGAAAAACTCATCTGCCACCTGCAACAGCACAACATACCCTCTGCCGTCGCCACCAGCTCAGGGTTCGTGTTGTTCGAAATGAAGACAAGCAGGCACAAGGAATTCTTCAGTTCATTTCATCACATCGTTCTGGGAGACGATCCTGAGGTGAAGAGTGGCAAGCCAGACCCCGACATATTTCTCGCTTGTGCCAGGAGGTTTTCGCCTCCTCCTCCCGTGGAAAAGGTAAGTTGGGTGTTGATGAGAAATGGCCACAACAGGCCGCATTTCGCCAAATAACATCCACGTGGAGCTTGTTAGCTCCAGGAGGTCTGTGTTTTCGCTATTGAGGGGCCACTGTGGAATGCTCCTTAGGACGTGGCTGTAAGGGAGGGGAGATCACCTGTTGAAAGATGTGACGGATCACAGCCACCGTGCCATAGTCTCCAGGCCAGTGACACTTGGCCAAAACCTTCTGGGCTGCACGATCGTATCTGAGAGAGTTCACATTTGGCAGAACAACCTATTCTGACCTTTCGCAGGGAATAGGGCTTCAACAGTTTGGTGCTTACATCATCAATCTATCTATATATTTTTTCAACATCCATATTTTTAACTAACAGACCGTAAGACAGATATTCATTGCAACTCAGACGTCAGTGCAGAGTTTTAGCTGGTGTCGTGACATCTTGACGTCTTCAGACTCACGGCTCTTTCTCCATGGGGATGAGGCAGCCAGAGGAACTGGGGGCTGCAGCCCCCTCCTGCCTGGGCGGACTGCTTGATCACACAGCCTGTGCCGTGGAGACAGCCTTCCTCCTGCTGTCGGTCCGCCACACGGCTCCTCCTGGCTGAGGCTTGCCAGAGTGTTAGGGGAGAATCGATCTTGGTGGTTCAGCCGCTCTGTGACTGCTGAGGTGGAATACCTGGCCTGAACCATCTGCAGGAACAGAGTCCAGGATGGCAACATGACATTTCTGGAGGGGGGTGCCTTGTGCTGATGCCATGTGTTAGCCCAGGGGCGTTCACTGGGGTGATGGTGGGGCTGCTGCTGCTGCCTCTGCCCCTCTTGCTTCCTGTACTTGAGGACTTTAGTTGTCTGGGCGAGTTAGTTCTCAGAAGCTCGTGTCAGTGAAAGGTCTTTTTCATTCTCACCTCTAACTGGTGAGACGGAGATGGGGTCACTGGTCCTTAACTACACAGATCACCAGCTTCTGGGAAATTACTCAGAAACTTCTTTCCAAGTAAATCTGGACCAGTGGAGTATTTTTGAATGACCTGTTTTTTTGCCCCAGGGTCTGCTTGGAACCTGGAAAAAAAGGTGAAGTATGTGACTCAGTTACACCGTCCTCTGATTCTCCAGCACCAAGCCAGAGTCCAACAATTCAATTTAATTGTAACACTAACTCCCAGAGTCAGCGCAGACCCTGCAGGTTACGGGCAGTCCCAGGAAACTGCCGCCACTTCAGACACCAATCGCAAGTTCCAGGGCCCAACTCTACTTCTGACCGACCAGCCACAGATTGGGGGTTCCTGCAGCCCCCTCGTCAGGTTTGATAATTCACTAGAATGATTCACAGAGCTCTCATTTACTGGTTTGTAATAAATGAATCAAGTAAAGAACAGCCAAGTAAAAGAGATGCATGGGGTGTGGTGTGGGGTGTAAGGGGATTCCTGTGCCCTCCCCAGGCAGGCCACCCTCTAGCACCTCCATGTGTTCCCCTGGGTTGTAGCTCCCCATGTCCCGCTATTTAGAGGTTTCTATGGCGACTGTATTACCTAGGCACAAGTGATTAAGTCACTGACCATTGATCATGGAATTCAATCTCGGGCCTGTGTCTTCTCCCCAGAGGTCAGGGGTGGTGCTGAAATTTCCACCCTTCTAATCACATCCCTGGTCTTTCTGGTGTCCAGACCCCATACTGAAACTGTCCTGGGGTCCACCAAGAGGTACCTTTCTAGCATAAACTCAGGTATGGTGGGAAAGGGCTTGTTAGGACCCCTCAGGAAATACCAAGGGTTTTAGAAACTGTGCCATGAACCAGGGATGATGAACAAACATGTATTTTTATGATCCTGCAGCCTGAAGAATCACTGAACGACAGAACGTGTTTGTAGCAACACACATATACTTGGGCTGACTCAGATCTCATTACTGAATTTAGCTTCACAGCAGTTTTGTGACATGGGACATGCCTGAGACCTCCCAGCTGGGAAGTTGTCAGAGAGTGAAAGTGGAGCCTCCAGTGGAGCTGGAGCAGATCCTGGGTGGGTGTGCATCTGCTTCTTGTATCTGGACATGTCCACGTACTTGGCATCCTTTCAAAAATTCCACTCAGAGGTCTTCGTTTTTCCTAAGAACTGCCCGCCTTATAAAATAATCATTCAGGTTCTAAAGTCTTCCTCCCAGAAATCCCATCCTCTCTGTTCAGCATAAGTTGCTGTTCGCTAGCAAAGGGAAAGTGCCATATTCTATAAACAGGTTCCCAGAGTGGATCACAGTAGCTAGGCACTGGCTTTTGAACTAGAATAAGAAGCAGATAAAGACTAGGTAAGATATGTGCCTTTTTACTGTGATCTGTTGGCATTGCTAAGATGGTTAAAGTAAGTTTCAAGAACACATAGTCCTTGTTTTGCAAGCCAGGATGCTAATGGAAACATAGTGTTTCTATGTTTCAACATGTATATGGAGACAAAGTTTATGCCAAAACCATGTGCTGGCTTTACATGAGACCAGTAACGGTGGAACCTGGCAAAAGGAGGACACTGCTCTTATAAGCAGGAATCTCTGTTCACAAGGTCCTTGCAGAAAAGAGGCCTGTTGAGTAGTGTTTTAACATCCTGGTGTTCCTCTCCTAGACAATGTTTGCTTTAGACTTGTCAAAGAAAAAGAGCAATTGCATATTTTAAAAGTAATTTAGCTCTTAGAGAGTTCTAAACGTTGCCCTTGTTACTAACCCATGCTTCCTTGTGCATGTGTTTGCCCTGTAGGAATGAAGTCTTATCATGTTTCTTACACGCACAGAACTGAAGGCTTTTTGGGTTTTTCCTCATGTGATGTGTGTATTGTTATGCTAAAGGAAGATTTGAGCAAGCTCCTTGTCATGGAGGCTCCCCTGATTTTTTACTTGGATTAGTCTTACAAATACACAAAGCATCTTTTAAGGGGCATGTTGCAATAGCACAGAGTTCTTCTATTCTGTCCTGCTGCTTTCTGCCGAGCACAGCTCAGGCACAATCCCATGGGGGCAGCTCACCTCCAAAGTTCCTGGGCTTACTAAGTCATGACAGAGATTCTCTATTGCCATCGGGGATTTATTATGTTGTGGGTATCAATCACCAAGTTAGCTATGTATAATGTTAGTACTACTATGAAAATAGTAAAAACTAGTAGTATAAAGGAAGGAAATTATCTTAAGTATTAATTACCATTTTACTAGGAGAAAGTACCTAACAGAGCCAGCATTAAGTTTTCACTGAGAATATTTTGTTTTAAGTGATTTATGTATCCTTCTTCTGTGCTCAAAAAAAAAAAAAAAAAAAAAAAAAGGCAAAAAGCCACCTTGAAGAGTCTCCCATTCCCCTTGTCAGGCTGGTGCATGCTCAGTGAGTGAGAACACTTGTGCCAGGCAGGGCCCTCGCTGAACCTCAGGGCCCTGCAGCTGGGGGCATGTTAGTTCCAGCTTCACAGCATGTGGATCCTGGAGGTTTGCAGGAGGCGGCAAGCTCACGGTCCTGCAGCAGGCCAAGGGACCACGTGGGGAGGCACCCACCACAAAAATGCATGTCCTCCTTTACACATGACTTCCTGGGTTGATATTTATTTCCAGTAAAACCGGAAGTCAGTTTTTAAAAGCCTCGCCATCACTACTTCATATGGCATTTTTAAAAAATTATTTTTTTATTCTGTTTTTCAAGAAAGTTCTGCACATTAAACTTTTATACGCCTAAAAAGTAAAAAAGAATGACCAGTGTATTTTAGCTGGAAAGTACTGTTAACTTCATACAGCATCTTTATTGTAAAACCCAGGTCATTCCTGCAATTACAGAAATAATTACTGGAGGTGGCTTTTTATATGTGAAATGGCAATTAATATATTTTGTATAATGTCTTGACAAATAAGCATGCTCATTTGGAAGTCATTCTCTATACCTTCTTTACTAGTTTCTTATCACTTTCTTAAAATAAGAAGTGTGACTCAAACAGTTTTCCAAGTGCTGCATATTTCTGTGCATGTGTCTGTATTTACACTTTCCTGTTGTGAAACCCTAGAAGTGGCCATAGAACTTTGTGTGTATTCGGTCTCTCTCTTTTTTTTTAAATGCCAGAGTGGAGGTTGTGAGATTACATTTACACTTGGTGAACAAAGGACGTGGTAGGTCTGCTTTTTTCCCTGCATATTTGTTAATGGATAAGGGCTAAGTCCACATAAATAAGTAGAGTGGGCTCATTTTAGCAGCCTTTAGACATTTCTACCACTTTTACATTTATACCCAAAGATACTGTGCCGTCACCCTGTTCATAGCACAGTCTGGGTGGCGGGGCTTGAATATTTTCATACAGCCCTGGGGGAGGGAACTCTGTCCAGTGAGCCAGAGGAAGACCAAAATTCCACTGAGGCGGGAATAAGTAAGTCATCGTGGGGAAACTGGGGATCAAACAGGGCCCAGAATAAAAGGAGGAGCAGAGTAAAAGGAGGATCAGTACGGAGCAGGACAAGCCTGACAGCAGTGGACATGGAAGCAACACAGAATCCATCGTGAGGACTTGGAAACCAAGGCAGAGTTTAGACGTGATGCAGTTGGCTCTGGTGCTCACTGCATGTTCGAAGGACATGGTGACAATGCCTATGTTTCAGAGCTCAATGGAGTACTTGGTGATGAGCTAGAAACAGGCACCAAGTGAGGAGGAAACGTCAGATGTGGTTTCAAATTATTTCCTTCAAGGAGCTTGCAGTTCAATTAGAAAAAAAATCAGACATGCACAATGACAAAACTTCTGTGAGGCTTAGAGAGAAAGTGAAATGAATGTAAGACAGTTGTCACTGAGTACATTTTCATATCAACCTATAGTACATTTGAAGGAATTTTTCCCTGCAACTCTTCCCTAGATTAAAATTTTTATAAAGTCACTAGTTTTTTGTTGTTGTTTTAGTTTTTTCTAGTACCTGTAATCGCGTGTGAAGCTCATCCAAAACTTACTCATAATTTGTCATACGGTGCATTTGTCCTGAAAGTATGTGGCC